TCTTTATTTAATTTGAGTCAGTCTATGTGTCTATGGCTTATCTCTGTCCACGGTTGTATGCCGTCTGACTTGCCATGTTTTTATTTTGCAAACTTCAAATATTTTTCATATATATTTAGCCAGGTGTGCCGCTATTTTTTCATGTGTTCCAAGGTGTGCCGTTGGCAAAAAAAGGTTGAGAACCATTGCCATAGACTGTAGTATTTACTAATTAATGTGATAAACACTGAACTGTATTTAATACGTCATATTATAGAAATGTGATAAACACTAAGGTGCCTTTATATAGGTCAGAGGTCGGGTGTTCGATCCCTGCATTGGCCGAGAAAGTTCATCCAGATCTTCCGGCGTGGTTTTCCCTTGTCAGTGATGCAGGACGGAGGGACTGACAAGGAAAGCTGTCTAGTCGTTCGGATGGGACGAAAAACCGAGGTCCCGTGTACACATTGGCGTGCACGTAAAAGATCCCTTGGCAGTTGGAATTCGATATAAGAGTAGGCCGTAGTGCCGCTGTCCGGGCAAAATTTCCCTCATAGCACACTATATGGCGTATGCCCGTCTTCATTAGCCCAGGTTAGGAGCAGAACAGTAGGACGTTAAACTCCATTTCATTTCATTTCATTTATTATACCTGAAGACGCCTAATAAGGACACGCCGTTATGATTTTGATGCAATCAGAATAAAGAAGTAAAAAAGTTAATGGTTGATTGTTTTTTACGGGACGTAAATTTATTACTTTTTTTCATTATTAATCATCAGATTTAGATCTATGTATGAGAATGAGTATAAAACGTGATGTGGTAATTATGTAATTAGTAGACGTCAATAACTAGTTACTACTTTTAATAACGAATTGTAATTGTTTGGAATTGAAATGCACCTGGTCGCTTACAATAATAGCGTCAAGAAGGCGGACACGAAACTGCTTTGATAAAAAAACAACAAATGAAATGGGGCTAATGTCCTACTGTTCTGCTCCAATAAAAAAAATGAGTGCGGTGTTATTTTGAGCCTACGGTCATCAAGTCCTTAAAACAATAATGTTTTAATAGTGTAAATATACATCTATATCCAAAATAGATTGTATTGTCCAAGCGATTATCATGTATTCATAACTTTGGTTTATGTGTTGTACATATCTTTAATGGATATATTTCTATATATATCAGCCACTGTATACATAGTCCTAGTCATAATGTATAATTTACATACTGCCCGAATAACGTGTTTTATGTAATAGAATATCTGTCATCTATCTATCTAAAGTCAGCGAAACGATCATTTTCTGTATTACATCTAGGGTGTGCAAATTAGATTTTATACTTGGTTCTCGCTATCACGATTCGCGTTACCATTAAAATCGTGGTTTTAATCGTTAAGTATTCGTGGTGATCCTATCTGATCTTATTATATATTGACGTCAGTGAGTCGTGTAGACCGTATCGAAACGTATCCGAACGGATCTACACGTAGCAGATCGTGGGCCCAACAGGGACAATCCTATCTTATTCTATCGTAACGTGTTACACGACAGTGGGAACCGATCATTATGCAACAATTATTGCTGAGATATAGACGTTTTACAGTTCGTTATGATTCCGTGGCATACATTGTATAAAAAAGTTAAACAGACGCTCGTGCAAACTATTAAGCGCTGAGTAGGCCAATGTTTGGATTACCGGTACATGGGTAAGTATATTATGGTTATTTTAAACATGGCATTACATAAACTAAGTTCAGTTGGTCTGGGTGACAGATCCTGGCTTTCAGTTTGGCGGGGGCCGAGGAAGGCGTTGGCTCATTATCATTTGTGTGATTTTCCGGTGTGGTTCCTTCTTGTCAGACGTGTAGGACATGGGGCCTGGTAAGAGACAGCGTATAATGGATCGGATGGGACGAAAACCTGGGGTTGCGTGTAAACATAAGTTGCACGTAAAAGAACCATTGACAATCGGAATACACTGTGTCGTTATTAGCCTAGCAGAAAAATAGGACGTAACCCAATTTCATTTCGGTTTCATATTGGAGAGAGAGAGAGAGAGAGAGAGAGAAGAGAGAGAGAGAGAGAGAGAGGGGTGGGGTTTAACGTCCACTCGACACAAACTAGGTCATTTCGGGACTAACATATGGTTTTTAATTTTATTTCAATAATCCGCTTGCGCGTAGGGGTCTTTAGCAGTGGGGGGAAACCGGAGAACCCAGAGAAAACCCACGAGGTTGGACATGCGATCCTACGTACTCCTTGTCACGTACAACCGGGGATTTGAAACCACGCCAGTTGACTCAATGACAGGACGTATGATACAGCACGCACGTGCTAACCATTCGGCCACCCAGCCCCCCAGCCTCCCGTTTTCATATTGGTAATGGTCAAAGAGAGGTGTCTCAAGAACATTTCGATATTTGGATTTATTTGCATTTTCGAAGCGGAGAGGGACGTGGTCTATAAAATATTGTTTAGCCTAACGGTGGATGACGTGGTCTATAAAATAATTGTTTAGCCTAACGGTGGATGATGGTGTACTTCGTCATCTGATTATGTACAAATAAAGTAATAACAATTCTACTATCTTGAGATTGTGTGAATGATCTATCTTTTTTTATACCTTTCATAGTTTTGTTTTTATTTCTCAGTTTATCACATTAAAAACGATCAAATTAGTATTAACTAGTATTGCCAGTTAGTATATATGTAAGGACATATTAGATTCAATATATAAAGGTTTATAAACCAAAACACATCAACGCTTTCATGTTCACCCTCGCGTAACAGGTCATGTCCCTTATGTGGATTTGGATTAACGTCTGTAGGTGGATTGTACTGACAATGGCAATGCCGTCGCGTGCTCGCTAATTTTAAAGCTAAGTGCAATCAGATATCTGTGGCTATCATACCACCGTCGTATATACAATATTTAAAGATTCCAAGATAATCCCTGAGTGTGTACACATTTATATATATAAAACAACGTTTCGATAAATGTTTTATTTTCTTTACCAATCATTTGTGCTTGATAACGATAATAACGTCTGCTTCTACAAAAGTGATATCGCAGACAAGCAACAGGAGTTCCGAGGTTTCTTCCTGTGTTTTTAGAATATGATTTTGCAATCGGTTTTATTCTGCTCAGTTGGGTTCTCGTTTTGCATTCCAAGAGATATAATTCAAGTACACAACGGAAATTGCCGGAATGTATCGAGGAATGGCGATTGGGTAACGGCCAAACGAATCTGTTATTAGTCTATAGGATACGACCAAGTTTCTTGGTGATTTGCTAATGGGGGTGACATTTCACGACTATCAATGAGGAGATCAATAACGTTAATGCAGTTGGGTTATAGAGATGACCCGAACAAGGTAAGGGAGGGGGTGGGGTAAATGTGGTTCAAGTAGCCTGTATATTTCTAAATATATATTATTGAGTGAATAAAACACGTAAAGTCTGTGAAAGTTTATAAATAAGTCCGTGTGACTTTCTGTTGATCTGTGAATTTACGGGTGGCTTGGCAGACTGAAGCCTAGGAACTGAAGGTAGGTGTGTGATTTGGGTGGGGGTCATTGACCAAGGCTCACACAAGTACGCGCCGAAGGCGCTTCACAAGCGTCCGAGGGGGGGTTGGTGGGCTTCACCCCCCAGGAAAAGTTTGAAAATTAACAACCGCAAACCCATTTTCCAAGCATTTCAGACCAAAGCAGAAGAAGGCAAATTTTTGATTTCCTGATACAATTAGATAACAGAATGACCTAAGAGCACTATAATCATTAGATGAATTTGAGAATTCTCTTCAGTGTCAAAAACAAAAACCTTTCTTTTCTTTCTCATGTCCTGTGTCCTGTCCTCTTTTTCCTTCTTTGTTTTCTCCCCCCCCCCACTCTCCTTTCTTTCTCTTTTCTTTTTTTCCTTATAGGCTTAGGCCCACTTTTTTTTAAATTAGGCCCAGGTGGGTCCAGTCCGACACTGGGGTGGGTGTCTTATAATGTCATAAGTTTTTTTTCACACATTGTTGCCTTGATTTTAAAAAAAAAAACCCACATGTTCATCTTCCCCTAGTTGTGAGGGTCGGGGGTTGGGAGGGGCCTCATAAGTTGAATAGCCTCGGGCCGCTCTTCATCTAAAGCCGGCAGTGATATGAAAAATCTCTTACAACAGATGGTCTGCGGCAAGAAAAAAAAATAAGTAAGTAAAAAATAATCTGCTATTGGCCTAATTGGCGGGCTAATAATAGTTGCTTTTGAAAAACTGGCCCAATTAAATAGCAAAACATTTAATTCGTAAGAGAGAAAAATGGGGTTTAATGTCCGCTCAACAGAAAACTATGTCACATCGGGACTAACATAGTATGGTTCAATTTTGTGTCAATAAATCGCTTGCGCGTAGAGGTATAATAAAGACTGGTGTCAGTTCACAAAACGTATTCTTGTGGAATGGTTGCAATCTTTAGGAGTTGGGTTATAGGCCTAGGCTACAATATGTCGGCTAGTTATTGCAAAATCTCCTATTTCGAATTGTTTGCTGTATGGGGAGCAACGGTGGCTCAATGGAAAAAAACGGGGGCACTGGGTTGCTGACCAGATTTCGGGTCTAGTCATTCGGGTGGGCCAAAAGCCAGACAATATTTAGTTGTATTGTAGGCCTAAATATGACTGTTTCTATAATTAATTTAAAGCAAAATAGAAAAATATAGAAAAATAATAGTCCTGTCTAAAGTGCACTGATTAACACGCCTGGTGAGTCCAAGAATTTTAATGTTTGGGTTTGATCCCCAAAGGGCACATTTGATCAACTCCGAACGGTTTAACTATTGTTTTCCCATACACTAAATGATCACAATCAAAATCAAATCATTTGTTTACCTTTAGTTTTTCATTTTTGATATTTAGTCAATGTACGGTTTGTCCTTTAGATAAAAGAATAATTAATACGCGATAAACCCTTTCTAAAAATGAAAAAGTGATACATAATAAATAGTTTTCATCCTGTGGGAAGTATACTTTTTATCTGGAGTTTCATTATAGACTCTACAGACTCAAGACTATAAAGTATAATAAAGACTCGGGGGAGGGCTATATTATATATGACTATAGGATAGGCCTGAACAAGTGTGCAGTGAAAATGAAATTAAAAACGTCAACCATAAATAAATGCGCCCTGTAATTTGAAGTTTTATTTTTATTCGGGTCCAGTTCTAATGGCGTCTATATTTTAAAAGAAACATATTTTCTCTCAACCTTTTAATTCTATCATCCTTATGTTACAGACACAGACCAAAGAAGCATCCCAATCAATTCTGCTCGCGAAGCACGGCATGGGAATTTTGACCAATCAGAATCTTTCATTTCTGTAATCTCTTGATGAAGGCCGCCATATTGCTGAACCCTTCCACCACACCCAAGCCGTCAATAAAATATTGTGGATTCAATCAGGGCTGTTTATGCCCTCATTGAAGCCCATCACTTCTGGCAGAATAGATGGAATTAGAAAATATAGTTGCTAACACTGTTTACCTGAAGGCACGCGAAGGTAAGTGTGAGTGAAAAATCTGGCTTCACAACTCACATTATTAGAAAGTGGACATCGGACATGTTTACATTTTTATGTCAGAAAAATTATGAGAGACTGTTTTCTGACAGTTTATACTTGTATTTATCATTCATTCATATACAGTCCAATGATCTCTGTCTGTATATATATTTTTTTTGCCCTTCAATACATGTAGGTTGATGTTTGACATTCGTCCAATAATGCCAATATATGTATGGGGGTGACGATACATTTACATTATGAGAATACGTCAATGACTGAGTGACTCTAGATCTAAAGCTCACAGGACGAATTCTGTACTTTTTTATTTTTACGGTAATAAGTCTGTGTTGTCAGTTAGATATTGCCAGACGAATGTATAATAATACATCTATATTTAATATACAAACATTAAGAGAGTAGGCCAGGCTATACCACCAATTACATTGTAAATCCATTGAGTAGACCATGTCACTGTGTGTTCAGTATTGTACTGTTGTAACATGTAGGCCACACTTGTAAAGTATTTGGCTTTAAAGTGAAAATACTCCCCCCCCCCAACTCCTTCTCAGTCATATTTAATCCTTCATGCACACGCATGCTATTAACACCTCATCATCACAATCATCGATTCATTCTGAGACTGACATACAGAAACAGTGACATTTTTCATTTGTTGTTGTGTGCACAATGGTAGAGGAGAGAATTATATAATAAATAGGTCTATCGTATGCGTATAAATTTAAAATCATTTTAATAAAATTGATATTACAGTAAATGGTACATTTTTATACTTTCTTTGATCGTTACAATCTCTTTACGACATTAATGTTACAATTTATTTTTTTCAAATTTGACGTGTGAAATATTCGAATTTAGTCTTATTTGGCCATCTGACTCGTATGCGTATGAATTTAATCATTTGAATAAAATTAACATTACATTGAATGGTATACTTTCTTTGATCTTTACCTTCCCTTTATGACATAAATGTTACAATTTGTTTTTTCAAATTTGGCATGTGAAGTACCGTAATTGAATTTAGCCTTATTTTGTTAAACCCCATTTCATATGCTTCATTCATTAGCCCAGTCGGAGCAGAACAGAAGGACGATAAACAACTTTCATTTCTTTAACAACCCAACAAGACAAAACTACTGTGAAACTTGACTTTTAATCAGGATAATATATGTGTTTTTTTTAACTACATGTTTATTTATATTGGTGCATTGTTTTGTCAGGTGGCGGTGGTAAAAGAAAAGGTAAAAGCAAGAAATGGAAGCAGATACTTCGATTCCCTCACATTTCCCATTGTATGGATATAAAATCCAAAATTCGTAAGTATCATTCCAAACCTTGCAATGTACATGTACCTTTATAATTAGAGGAGTTGGATGACCGAATGGTTAGCGCGTGCACGTTTTATCATAAGGTCTGTCATTGGGTCAGCTGGAATGGTTTTGATTCCTCGGTTGTACATGATGAGGAGTAGGGTTGTCTGTCTAACCTCGTTATTTTTCTCTGGTTTCCTCCCACTCCTAAAGAACCCTACATGCAATTGTATTATTGACATAAAATTGAACCATATGTTAGTCCCGAAATGACCTAGTTTGTGTTGAGTGGATGTTAAACCCATTTCTCTCTTTCTCTCTCTCTCTCTGTCCCCTTTATAATTATATATTTTATAAAAAATACAATGTATATCTTGGTGTGACAGATAAATGTTAACACCTTGAATACATATTACAGGAATTAATGTCACTACATGTATAAATCCGATTGTTTTAAGGTGACTATTGGAAAATCAATGCCTATTTTTGTTTATTATATATACCAGTAAAGAAAAAATAAACCAAAAATTTCTGTTAATTTTTAATGATCGCTTTAAATTTCCAACATAAAATAAAAGAACTATTCCAGAATGTGAGTTGATAATATATCTTGTACAAATTATTAAAAATAATACAGTATGCGAAACATTTTATTGGTGCTTATGATCTTGTATACAGTAGGTGTGTGTAATTGCTTGAATGTGTAGCCTATGACATAACTGGTATGAACTTGACCTTGTATTTGAAATTCCGGGTTTAGTAGGAAATTGAATAATATGTAAACATTTACTGGCACACTGACTAATTTTATCTTTATTACTACTACAACATGTGATCAGAGCTGGATTAATACATGAACTATATGGACTGTAGTCCTGGGGCCTAGCCAATACGCTACTCAGTGTCTCAGTGAGTAAGGTGCTAGATCACTAACCAAAAGGTTGACTGAAAAAGTTCCCAGGATTTTTTAGTTTGGTTGCTTGCAAGGAATAGCATTTAGCAATTCAGATGGGACTAAAAACCATGGTCCTGTGTTCACATAAAGAACCCAATGCAGTTGGAATTAGAAATAAGACTAGGTCACTGTCCAGTCAAAGTTTCCCATGTACAGGTAGTACACTGCATGACGTATGCATGTCTTGTTTAGCCCAGCTTGTGCAGAAAAGTAGGACATCAAATCCCATTTCGTTTCTGATATCAGTATATAATTTTCAGCTGGGTTGGATGGTCGAATGGTTAGTGCGTACGCCTTGTATCATAAGGTCTGTCATTGAGTCAATTGGCATGATATCGACTCCCCGGTTGTGCGTGACAAGAAGTAGGGTCGCCTGTCCAACCTCATTGGTTTTCTTTGGCTCCTCCGGTTTCCTCCCTCTGCTAAAGACCCCTATGCGAAAGCGGATTATTGAAATAAAATTGAACCATGTTTGTCCCAAAATGACCTAGTTTGTGTCAAGTAGGCATTATCCTCCGCACCTTCTCTCTCTCTCTCTCATTTTGATATGTACATACTATAAAGTTTAAAAATGAGTCAACAACTGAATGTAAGAATTAGAAACTTTTAATAGTGAGAGCTAAATTTGTCTGACATAATTGGGCACCACATGAATTATTAGATTCTCTAATTACAGTTGTAATCTTTATAAATATTTAAACCATGACAAGATAAGTGGGTTAGTCTATTAAGATGATATTTTGGCTAGTTATTCTATTATAAAAATAAAATTTGAGTCATAAAGTAAACAGTATACAATTACAAATGGATTTGTTTATTGTAAGGCTGTTAATAAGAAGTAGGGAATAGTCGAGTGATTAGGGTACTTGAGTCAAATGTCCTGGGTTTGAATTCTGGCGTGGAGACAAGAAAAGTCGTGGCATTTTTCAAGCTAGGCATGGAGTTCACAAAGCATTCTCAGGCTTGAGTTAAGAGTTGAAGAAAAAAATTTCACCTTATTTTAACTAAGATATAGCCCTTTATAAAACTTTTGTTGTTTTAATGTATCAAATACATCAGTAATAAACTATGTGCAAAGTTTTGTGTTCCTGGATCAAAGATATATCTCATAAACAGTGATTGAAAGTTGAGTAAATTCTTAACTTAAGTCTGAGAATGCTTTGTGAACTCGGGGCCAGCTTCCCAATTTTTTAGGGGTTTTTCCAATGGGATTAACCAAGAAAGTGTTGATTTATTCAGATGGGATGTAAAACAGAGGTTCTCCAGTGGCCTGCATGTAAAAGAACCCTCGACAGTTGGAATTCGATTTGAAAGTGTGGGCCGAAATGCAGCTGTCCAGGCAAACGTTTCCATCCTGGCATTGCATGTACGCTACCGAAAAAATAAAAATCTTGTTAGTCTCAAACTATGAAACTTCATATAAATGTTACCTCACTGACTCGCTAGCCTGGAGGTTGGGTGTTTGATCCCTGCATATGCTGAGAAAGTTCATCCAAATTTTCCAGCATGGTTCCCCCTTGTCAGTGATGCAGGATGGAGGGCCTGACAAGAACAGCTGTCTAGTCGTTTGAATGGGATGGGTATGTAAAAGATCCCTTGACAGTTGGAATTCGATATAAAAGTAGGCTGTAGTGTCGTTGTCCAGGAAAAATTTCCCTCATATCACACTTTATGATGTATGCCCGTCTTCATCAGCCCTGTAGGGAGCAGAACTGTAGGATGTTAACACTGTAACCCAGGTATCATTTAATCTTGTGTATCTAGCACCAATTTCTTTCACATTCGTTTAATATCAGTTCTTTGTTTAAAAATCATTTAAAATCACCAAAAATCATCTAATTTGTACTTGTGTCCACTTTAAAGCTGACTGATTATTTTTGATAATGAGTGTCCAATTTACAAGTATTTAATTTCCTGACCACTGTTCAAAAATTAATCATTATACATCATTAATCAATTGGGTTGTTTATTTTTTAACAGTGATTGAGAAATTAAACACTTGTAAATTGGACACTCATTATCAAAATTGAATGGTCAGCTTTAAACTGGACAGAAGTACAAATTAAATGATTTATGGTGAATTTAAACAGTTTTTATGAATTTTTAAACAAAGATTAGATATTAAATGAATGTGAAAGAAATTAGTGCTAGATACACAAGATTAAATGATACATGTACCTGGCTAACAGTGTAAATTTCATTTCATTTCTAAAATGTTACATACCAATACAAACAATTTTAAAATGTCATTAAACATAGTGTAGACAAAATAAATGGTAGTATTATATACTAGAAGTATTCTTGATCATGTAATTATTTGGCAATACGTCAAATTTCTCAATGAGTTTTGGTGACTATAAATGTTTTTCTTGTAAGAAGCTCGTACAAGAGGTAATTTACCAGTGAAGTATGTACTACTTTGTGTTAATATATAGGTAAATTGATTCTAGTTAACCCGTTCTCACTGGGGGATCATTACTTACCTACATATGGTTAAGATAAAAGTGGTGATAGTTTTACTTACAAGTTTATAATACATTTTACATGAAGGCCTTAACAGTACTTGTTCGTCATGGGGGATTCAACAAATACATGCTTTATAATTATTTATCTGCTGGACTTTCTACATATGTTCATGATAAAAGGGCTGATAAATTTCCTTACATATACATTTATCTGATGAGCTCGCCACATGATGAGTGAAAAAGTACATTCAAATGTTATTAAACCAGTGTTGAAATCAGTTTGCGTTGGCATACCTTTTGGCCGGACAGCAGCGCTATGGCCTACTCTTACAGTATTTCGAATTCCAACTGTCAAAGGTTCTTGTACATGCAGGCCAGTGCGTACACAGGACCTTGGTTTTTCATTCCATCTGAAGGACTATTCATTGTCCATTGACAGGCCCTCTTTCCTACATCACTGACAAGTGTGAAACTGTGCCTGAAAATCCAGATGAACTTTCTTGGTCAATGCAGGCATCGGATACGGGACCTTCAGTTTAGCAACCCTACGTCTTGCTCTTACTCACTGAGTCACCGTGGCACCCCCAAATATGTATAATTCTCTATGAATATAAATCACAAAAAAAACAACTTAAAACGGGGATTTATATTATGTAATAATAATTTAGTCTGTAGAATAGAACAGTTTTATCTTTCCTTAAACATTAATGTGTATTTCATGTCTAGATTTGAAGTTCCTTATCGCTAAAACCATAAATAACTACTTCGGCAGAGGAAACCAGACTAGCATTTAAAACAAAATGTTGTTTGCAGTTTTGAAATGAAATGCACAGATTTGATTTAATGTGTAATATTTGTTGATGAAAATAAATGTATAAAGTATTAATGGAATATAGTGATATTGAGTTTATCTGGTGTCACGGTTTGGATCGGTAACTAAATTAGCTTGGTACCTTTTTTCGCCCAGTACCTCAAATGTTTTTTCCTTAGCCTCAGTGTAATTTGTAAGGATTTTCGACTGTTATAAGAATGGTTTTTTGTAAAAACTGGGAACTTGTTACATATGTAACTTCTGTAGTTTTACTGGAACAAAGCCAAACCAGGTACAGTGTGAAACCGCCACACTGGTTTTTGTAATGAGGCGTTATTGATATCTTTCAAGTAGTTTCAACAAGTGAAAATGTCTTGACTTGCTACTTTACATGTAGAGATAAGACTGTTATTTATTACATAATCTATGAAATAAGCCATTTACCAGAATTAAATATGAGAAATAAAAAATCTGTTGTCTAATTTGTCTTAAAGCCCCACTAGTTCTCTAGCTTGATTGTGTCAACAGTAACAGCATGAATATGTTAACCAAAATCAGTAAATATATACATGTATGTTGCATGGCTTGAAAATAATGAAATCTAATAGATGGACTTGATGAATTTCCTAGTTTACTGCGCCAACTGGGTATGAGGGAAAGTTTGTCCGGGCAGCGGTACTATGGCCTGCCTTGATATCGAATTCCAACTGCCAAGGGATATTTTACGTGCATGCCAATGTATACATGGGACCTTGGTTTTTCGTCCTATCTAAAT